TAATGTACAAAAGAATATTCCTTATTCTTTCCTTAAATAAAATCTACGGAATTACCTAATAGGATTAACATATATATCACAATTAATGTTTATGAACAATAAAGATTTGATAACAATTTTTATCCTCTTTACTTTTTATTTAATTTTATATTATTAAAAGAAATAAAAAAATCACATTGATCCTATAATAAAAAATTAGGTTTGTTCTTATATGTTATATTTTGAATTTTTTAAAACGACCATAAATTATTAAAAATGGTAAAAATCTCACCTTGAAATTTTTTTGATCAATGATAAAGTTTTTTAGTTTGCCAATCGTTTTTCTAATGGGTCTTAAATAGTTTATATTGATTAACTAAATAAATCACGCATAATAGAGTGTGTTTTGTTTAAAAATTGTTGCATACCCGAAATCAGTATGAACCATCATCCCTTTCGTTTAAATTTTTGGTATAATAAAAAAAATATATGGTTGGACAAAAAAACTGAATCCAAATAACCGAACCAAATCTAATCCATAAAGTAGTACAAATTTTTAACCAAAATTGGTTAGATATCCAAACGGATTCAAAATTTTGGTATTTAGATTACCAAAAACTGAATCGAAATATTTCAGGTATCCAAGTGCTCGAACCAGATTTATATACTTAAATATATTAATATATTTTTTAAAATGTTCCAAAATACTTAGAAATATATAAAAAAGTTAAATCCATATTTAAAAATAGCTAAACGATACTCCAAATACCAAAAATATTTAAAATATTTATTTATTTTTTTCCAAATATTTATGATAAAGCAATTTTATGTTAAGTTTAAGTATTTTGGCATTCATTTTTCAAATTTATATGTTATATATTATTTTTTCCTTTTAGATTTTGAAAATTTTAAAGTATATATGAATTTCAATCTTTTTTATAAAAAAAATAAATGGATTATCCGAAACTAAACCCAATCTGAACCTGCAAAAATTCGAACCAAACCGCAAAGATCTAAACCAAACAAAATCTAACCGAACCAAATGGTTTCCAAATGCCTATCTTTAATCAAATGTAAAAAAATTATGATAGCAAAATATATAATTAAATACAACATATTTTTAAAAATCTCACTCCGCGCATGGCGCGGGTTATCATCTAGTTATAAAGTAAAAAGCACGTAATAATGAAGCTTATCAGAAGGGTGAAAATCACTCGCCTAAAAGGAAGGAAAACACAAGGAGGAGTTTACTTGAGGGAGACACATCAATGACCTTACCAGACTAGTCTTCTGTCTACACGTTTAGGGTCCGCGTCTTCTAGCTTATAGTCTACATACATCATTAAATGGAACTTCAAAAATATTAGTACCATTATTATTCTCTCCTAACTGGAGTAATAACATTTCTTGTTATGCTTACTATTTTTATAATGACTTAAATAGTAAGTAGGAGTAATCAAGAGCAGTTGCCTTGTAAACAGCGAGTAAGGGCGCGTGGGATTTGATTCGTCGCTTGTGGTGTCTCCTCCTCCATCGTAGAAAAGATTTTAAAAAGGAGGAGGAAGCATAATAATAATCTTTTCTTCTTCTTTCTTCTTCTTCTTCTTCTTAGATTGATTGATACCAACTCTTAATCTACATCTGATCTTCATTTCTACTTCCAAGAGCAATCTGGGTTCTGTATTGAAGGTGGAGAGGGGATTCATTAGAGCTAGTGAGAAAAAACTGACTCTTTTGAAGAAGGATGAGGATTTTGTGCGATGCGTGCGAGAACGCAGCTGCTATCGTCTTCTGCGCCGCGGACGAAGCTGCCCTTTGCCGCGCCTGTGATGAAAAAGTAAAAGCTTTTTTTTTTTGTAACTCTCTCTGTACTGATACAATAGAGTAACAAAGCTTTATTTATCTATATGTCTGTGTTGATCTCCATCCTTGTTATCTAATAAGAGACTTGTCACAACTGAGTGAGTAAAGAATGTAACTTTTGTTGCTGATATTTGGTCCTTAGACTTTGTTGATTAAGTAGATGAGAGATCTTTTGCATTGTTTCTCAGTGGGTAAAGTGAATTCATGTTTGCTGCTCTGTGATGTGCATTGCAGAGTTTAATGTTTTTTGTTTCCAAAGTTTTCATTTAGCTTAAACTTCTGGAGATACAAATTAATCAAATTTACAGATTAATATTTACTTAAATTACATGACTCTCTGAGTAGCTTTTTTAGATTTTATTTTCCTTGTTACCAGTGGGTCAACTTTATTCCAAACTCTGTAATGTTTTCTTTTTTGTTTTACAGGTTCATATGTGCAATAAGCTAGCTAGTCGGCATGTACGTGTAGGTTTAGCCGAACCAAGCAATGCCCCTTGCTGCGATATTTGCGAAAATGCACCTGGTCTCTCTCTTTCTCTCTTTACAATCACCTTTCCACACTCGTGTTTCTTTTAGATTTTTGCTTATACATCTCATTCTTTTTGTCTTCTTCGTCGCAGCCTTCTTTTACTGTGAGATAGATGGTAGTTCGCTTTGTCTACAATGTGACATGGTAGTACATGTTGGTGGCAAGAGAACACACGGGCGCTTTCTTCTGCTCAGACAGAGAATCGAGGTTTGTGTTCAACTCTTTTTACTTACTCTCACAATCATTTTGAGTCATTGTGTTTGTCGTTTTTCTTTGTAGTTTCCAGGGGACAAGCCTAAACAAAACAATACGAGAGACAATTTGCAAAACCAAAGAGTCTCTGCAACTGCAAACGGTGAAGCTAATGGCAAGCCTGACGACGAAATGATTGATCTCAACGCTAACCCTCAGAGAGTACATGAGCCATCATCAAATAACCATGTAACTATTCAATCTATTTCTCTATATATATTATTATGTATAATCAATCATTTTTTGTGTTGTGAAATTGTTTTTGTTTCTCAAATGAGCAGGGTATCGATGTAAATAACACGAACAATCACGAGACTCCAGGTGTTGTACCCTTCAAACGAGAGCCTGAGAAGTGATCAGGTGAGAGTGAGAATCTCTTGTAAAAAAAGTTTAAAGAAATTGGAAAAATCTCAAGTTTTCTTTGATTGTTTTTGCAGGGTCTGGTGTAAGCCATGTTTTATTGTTGAAGAAAGAAGAAAGGCTTTGTTGTCTTTGTTTGTGCATTATCTTAGTTTAAAAGGATAGAGCTCACATGAATGTATAAGCTAACATACCTGAAATTCTGAACAATTTTATTTATTTTCTGTTTCTTTCCAATTTTTTTTTTTATAAAAATCCTTTGGAAAAGAAAAATATGTTCACAAACCCTCCAGAGAGTATACAGAACTTAGGCCAGGAAAAGAATAAAGCCCATTAGTTATGCAAAGGTCCATGTTAGTGCACAGGTCCACCAATTATCTATAATGTCTTTCGATATATTTTTTTTTTGTCCGCCACCCATTTGGTTTAGATCAATTGGTGGACAGACGAATCGATTCTCCGAAGAGTACCTCCGTCTGGCCTGGTCTGATCTATACGGGAAAAAACAACTCTTTTCCTTCTTGCTTCTTTGGCTAGTGCATCTGCTCGGCCATTCAAACTTCGAGGAATATGAGACACCCGCATATCGTCGAAGCCGTCTTGAAGCCTCTGCAAAATCTCGATATCTGTGGCAAAAGCCAACCAATTCTCCGGATTTATGCTCATATCCACGAGGTCTGAACAGTCCGTTCCAAACCGAATCTCGAGGATCCGTAGATCTCTTAGGCAGGAAGCTGCCCATAGTAACCCTTCCATCTCTTCGTGTAAGGCAGAGCGGCTCCTGTTGCATGCTCTTTCGATATATAGATTTCAAAAATTATAGTCCTTTGAATAAATGAGGGACACAAAACTTTGATAGACTAATTGAGTTTTATAATTTCCTTTCTTTCTCTTTTGGGGTTATTTTAATCATTTCTAGTGCAATGATCAAAGATAGATAACTTCAATATATTAAAAACTTATTAAAAGGAGTAGCTAATGCAAATTAAGCAGAGAAAATAAGTGTTTTGACATTACAATAACCAACCAAACTCAAAAACAAATGCAATCAAAACATTTGCTTCGTCTCCAATTTCACAGCATCATCATGATCTCTTCAGTAGGTGTATCCTTTGACGAACATACCCTCCTTAGCCTCGTCGGACTCACCTTCTCCGGTGTATTTTCCAAGCTGAGCCAATGAGTTGGCCTTGGCACGAGCCAAGAGAGTGGTCTGAGCTGCGTTCACGTTCTCAGCTCTGCCTCCCCATGTTTTCAAACAAGTGTTCTGCAGCGCACGTGCGTAGGAGAACGACACGTGCCATGGGTTTGGTGCCTGGTTCATGGCGTTGAGGTTCAACGTTGCCTCCAACTCAGACTGTCCTCCGGACAAGAACTGCAAAAAAAAACAAAACACAAAAAAGTTTACTTTCACTTCAAGCAACCAAGATCTAGGTTTTCCTCATAAAATACTCATTTTTCTGAATAGAGCTTGCCATGATTCCGGGGACTGCTGGAGGGATTCTGTTGCGGAGGAGCTTGAGAGTGTAGGAGGCAACTTGTTCAGGGGTAGCTCTTTCTTTAGACTCGGCTCCGGGAGTCACCATGCTCGGCTTCAAGAGGATACCTTCAAACATGACATTGTTCTGAGCAAGGTAAAAGAAAACCTCAGCCCAAACCTTCTCAGCTACTTCGTAAGTCCTGTCAATGTTGTGTTCTCCATCCAACAAGATCTCTGGCTCCACTATTGGAACCAATCCACTGTCCTGAAAAAAAGAAAAAAAAACAGAATCTTCCACGTGAGAAATAGCATCATAAAAGAATCTGTTTCTTGAAGGAGAAGCAATGTTTTTTACTTGTGAGATGGCAGCGTATCGAGCAAGTCCCCATGCAGCTTCTTTTACAGCGAGAGCAGATGGACCGTTGGGAATGCTCACAACAGTACGCCTAAATCAAACCCATCAACACAAAATTCATTAACAAATTCGAACTAAGAGAAAACATTTTGTGTAGGAACAGAGAGTAATACTCTATACCATTTGGCGAAACGAGCACCCTGTTGGTAGTAAGCAGCGGTACGAGAGGATAGACCATCGAGTCCTTGGCACCATGACTCATTGTTAGAGCCAACAAGTGGCACCAAACCCTACTTCCATAGATACAAATTAGATTCCTCTTATATAGCACCACGTTTGGTATTATAACCTACATAATAGTATGCTATTAGTCATACCTTGTCGACTTTGATACCAGGGACGATGTTCTGCTCGACGAGGACGTCGACCATTTTCTTGCCTTCGGTGGTTGATTGATAAAGAGTCTCCTCGAACAGGATTGCACCGGAGATGTACTGACCGAGACCTGGTGCGGAGACCAGCAGTGTCCGGTATGCTTGACGGTTTGCCTCAGTGTTCTCTAGCCCGATCGAGTCCAAACGCTTCCCGCAAGTCGCGTTCGACTCGTCCATCGCCAAGATCCCACGTCCCGGAGACGCAATTGTTTTCTGCTCCAACACCAAAATACATAATCATATTAAATTGCATATTTTCCTTTTTTTCACAACTATCACGTTGTATGATCGAACTATATTGTTATTCGACTTATTTTATACTAGTTTTTCTATACAGTAACACACATGAACCAAAATCAAAACCCAACTAATGAAATCATGAATCATATTTTAACTCTCATTGAAAATATCTATTGTGCTAGTATTATCGAAATCCAAACTAAAATTGGGATATGAAGATCAAAATGATAAATAACTAAAATAAAATAAAAAAAATTAACCAAACAACTACTTGGTTCTGAAAAGAGAGTAAAAGGTGAAAACAGAACATAATTAGTTAATAAGACATTCCAGTTCAAAAAGGTGAAAAGAACAAAGGTGTATTCATGAATCATGCAGATAAGACACGTGACAAATAAAAAGAGACTGTGTGGGGGAGTACTAACCGCTGTCTTAACGAGCTCATCGGCATAGGAAGAAGCGGCACGGACGGTAAGGGAGGTGGCACGGTTGCGTAGGACGACGGCGGCGGAAGAAGGCTGACGGAAGAGATTGCTTTGGCCCTTGATCCACTCAGATTTGTCCAACACTGGAGAAGCCTTGAGGAGTGAGGTTGATGCCATCTTTTGTTGATATGTTATCTCTTTTCTCTTCTCTCTGCCTTTGGTTTGTTTGAGAGACGCACAGTGAATGAGCTTATGATGACACCACCTTATCTCTGAGGAAGGAGGAGCAACCTCACTCTCCCTCTTTTGGATTTATATTTCTCATTAGATCACTTATCTGAGGTTCATGTAACCTTGCCAATTAGACTCCGCCACGTGGACCGTAATCTTGTATTACTCACAATTCAAGAAAATGCCACGGAGTCGCTGCACCTTTTATGCCATACCTGTCGTTAGGGGTGGGCACTTTATTCCGATACCCGAATTCGTATCCGAACCCGACTCGAAATATCCGAACAAAAATAATAAATTATCTGAAGATTCTAAACAGATGTTGAATTATGAGAGATTGAATATCCGAACCCGAACGGATCTCCGAAGATAACTAAATATATATATATATACTTTATTCCTAATTTATTTGTCTTATTTTATTAAATATTTATATTAATATTGTATATAGTTTAAGATCATAATATATATATATATATATAATTGTAGAAAAAAAATGATTTGCTACTCATTTAAAATGTACGTCAAACTTCTAATTTCATATTTTAACAAAAATTATATCTAAAATTTGAAACTTATTAATTATCTAACTTAGTAAACATTAAAAAATAATTAATTAATAGTAGAATTTTAAATATATAAAACTTAAGCAATGAAGAATTTGAATTTTTTCTTTCAAAAATCTAAATATTCGAATCTGATCCAAAATAACCGAACTCGAACTAAATATATCCAAACCCGACCTGATATGTAAAATACCTGAATGGGTAATAGACCCCAATACCAAAATATCAAAAATCTGAAATATCCGATCCGAACCTAAATGGGTGTCCGAACACCCACCTCTACCCATCGTTACATGTTTTTTTTTTAATTATACAGAGATATTTTGGTTTCACATAAGTGGTCTAGGATAGTCACGTATTGTCACGTGTCAGTCTCTTATCCTTGGTAAAAAAGTTGATTTCCAAGTGAACCAAAATTCGAATTCTGATGGCTTCATCATATTGAACTTTTAACCTCAAATTAATCACCACTAGATCACATATCCTTGTTGTTTTATTTTTGTTTGCACATACAGAAATTAATCGCATATACCAAAAAAAGTAAAGATTCGTTCATGACACGATTATGAAAAGAAAAAAATATATTTATGCTGTTAGCGTGTACAAACAATATGTATAAAAAGTCTCTAAAATTAATGTAGAGCATAGGACTGTGGACCATAATTTAATATTTACCAGATGATTTTTCCGCGCTACGCACGGATCACATGTTTAAAATTTTGTTTATTTTTCTATTTTTTCTTTTTTATAAATATTAGTTTTACCTAATATTTCTATTTTCCTTTTGTTTTGTGAATAAAATTTAAATATTTTCTTTGTTTCATAATGTATATGTTTTACAAAAGATTTGTGTTTGAAAATGTAAGATGTTTTGATACTATAATTTTCTCATTTTATTTTGAAAATTACTGGACCAATAATATTATGTTTATTATTTATGTTTGATTAGCTCAGTTTGGATTTATACTACTGATACTATTTAAAAAAATTTCTTAATTCTTATGCATGTGACCAAAACATCATTTAATAAGAAATAGAGAAGTAAATTGTAAACTTTTTTATCATGGAATTATTGGTTAGTGGTGTAACTCAAACTGATTATTAGGATATGACTGGTGTAACCACAACAATTGTGGATGCGGTTACAGACGTTTATTTTTTTGGATCGAAAATCCTATCGGCTGATCCGACCAGCTTCGGGAGGAACACACTTAATGCTACGGAGTAGATTGGTTACCACATTGCCTGATCCGAGTTTGGAATACCTTCCGACTAATGTCAAGAGTGAACCGATCATCTGTTACGATACACCATATAAACTACTTGGGCCAAATCCAACTGGCCAAGTATTGATAATTTAGTTCCTATAGGAAATAGAACTCATGATTGATATGAATACACACCAAGTACCAAGAGATTGCCACTATGCTATCACCACTTGGTTGATGTAAAGTTTATTTCCATCATATATGTATTAATTAATATGATCGTAAACAAATTATAAAATAAAAAAATGGAAAATCATATGTTAATACAAAAAATGTGTAAGAGAATTTGTGTATTGGCAAATTAATTGAAAAACAAAGTGATATGTAGACAAA